ACCTCCCAACCTGACCATGTTCGGTGACTTTTAATTTGACTGCCCACATCTCCAGCTTTGTCCAATTATTACAACCACACTGCTTTGTTCCATCCTCATCATCTGCCATGTGTTGGATTAACGTCGTCCCACTTTATTCTAGAAACTAAACTAGCACATGCACATTGATATATCCTATATTACTCTTGATCTGCAGGTGTCGATTATATTTGCTTGTCACAAGTTTACGGGGCCTGCCGGCTCATGATTCATAAAAACCAGTGGTTTGTTTGGTTAATTCGGGGGAAACTTGATCTAATTTTAAAACGTATATCATTTATTGGGATCTTATTATCCGTATAATAGATATCAGTTCATTAGACTAAACTATTTTATTTGCAATAGTCAGAGGCTAAGTTTTGATGGGTAATTTATCGCAATTAAATTGGGTTTATATTTTTTTTGGATCAAAGACAAGACTGGCTTCATATTTCACAGGAATTGAATTGAGAAAGAATTACAATCAGGTCTAAATGAAGGAATTTAATTACACTAAAGTTCATTGATAACTAAAAATCATGTAACAAGATTAGGTTAATCACTTGTCATTGGAATTTTTTGATAATTACTTTTTTTTTTTTTTTTGGATCTCATGGTAATTCTCCTTTGAATTAAGTACACACCGCCTCTCTTTTGTTTAATGCTCAAAAAGTCCAGGTAAGTTAAATCCTGAAAAAAAAAAAAAAACCTTTTAATTCAGGCATTGCAGTCTGTGAAGGGCGTGCAATTATTAGAGGGTGTTTTAGGAGGCGTTTACATTGAATTGGGCTGCAGAGCATGTTGGTTAAAGGCGGCGTCTCAGCCTCAGTCACTGACTGGAAGGCCCAATTTGGGGGATTATTTGGGAGCCCAAGGACCATCCTGGAGAAATAGTAGAGAAATAACCGCAATTATTGGACAGAAGCGGTCGTGCCAGAGAGCATTTTGAATTGAATAGAAAAGCGGAAGCACATAGAATCTCTGTCTCTATCCTGTAGGCTGAGGATGATATATACAAGCTGGTGTTGGGACCACCAAAAAAAAAAGAAAAAAAGGCATGTTCGTGTCTTCATGAATAAGTTGATCAAATCAGGATGGGTCCGGCCTCTCTCCTCAGCACCACCAGCAAGACTCTTTCTTTGCATCATGTGATCCCATTTGGCAAGACCAAACTCAGTCGCTTCAACCTTACACCTAATTGTTCGATGTGATATGTCTAAAATGCACACGCCACGTTTGAAGAATCCCCCGTGATGTGTTGGGTGAGTGGATTGTTATTATTATTTTGTTTCTCTTTCTCTCTCTTTATATATACTATTCTGTTTTTTATTATAGCTCACTTTTATTCTAAAAATTTGTTTCAAAATATAAGTCACCTGTAATATAATTAATGATATTTTTTCAATTTTATCCTATTAATTTAATAAAAAATTAATTAATTTAAGTCTAAAATAATGACTTTTCAAAGCACGTCCTTCTCATCTCTATCTCTTTCTTTCAACTTTTCATTTCCTATGTAGTCCGTCATCTCCCTCCCTCCCTCTCAACTTTTAATCCAGCACAACCACAAATACAATCTTTATTTAATAAGGGTAAATGAAAAGAAACTAGTTAATTTAATATATTTTTTGATTTAAGGATTTGGAATGCAAGTAATTTATAATAAGGAACGGAGTGGTATATATTGCCCACAAAAGAAGAATAATCAATCATGGAATTGAACTATCAAAACGGGTCCGCTTGGTCTCCGGCTGATTTGTCACGGATCATGAAATGGTTCAAGTAAGGCGGTTTTGAAATGGGAATGGACGCCGTCCTTGTTAAAATCCATACCATTCCATCCCACCAAGAAGTTTCCCTCTTCACGCTTCAAACCTCACCGCCCAACAATTTGGCGCGCCTCCAATGAAACCTGCATATTCTTCCGGAACAAAATTCCGTGCTAATACTAACAGAAAATAATTAATGCTTCATTAATGCTTTAAAAGGCTGCAATATTCAGCCGTCGGCGCTCAACGTTTTTCTCGTGCCTCCCTCTCTTTCCATCATCTTGTTGACCATTGCCGCGTCGGTATCTGGGCGTGGCGGAACAAGTTTATTCACCTAAACTAGAGCCGGTTCGGGTTCAACCCGTCCAGCACCAAGTAGTGTGCTGTTTGCATGGGTTTAGCGTTCGATTTGAAGTAACTTAGCATTGTTGGAATGCTGGTTAAAAAAAAGAAGCATTGTTAGAATATTTTTAAAATAAAGAGATGTGTTTTTGAAAAGTCATGTCCTTATCTATATTTATTATATTAATAAATTTATCTGAGGGTTATAACCAATGAAAAAAAAATGGATTGGGAATTAAACCGGTCGATGTACTGGGCCAAGGATCATTGGTCGAACCGGTCATATTAAGATAATACAATTTAATTCACAACATTAAAATAGAACAGAATTCATAAATAATAATCACTCAAAAAAGAGATAGAAAATTACAAAAGTAGTTTAAATATTTAATTGTACCAAGCAAATATTAATAAAATACACATCTTTGATGTTCTTACCTTGCTTCTCCAACTTTCTAAACTTTTTTATTAACGAATCCTCTCACACGTGCTGACCAGATATCATCATTTAAATGATGTTCCAAGTAAACAAATCAATCACTATGAGTGTCTGACTGTTATTTTTCTTTTCCCCAATCATACACAATATTTTTCTACATTGGACAAAGGAAATAAATCTCATTTTATCTAAGCCTAGCTACTTTGAGGTTATTAGGGTTGAGAATTCAAATAAATAAATAAAACAGAAGAGAGGATGAAGTTGGCCACTACTTTAGGGAAAACTGGAATAATCACCCATGACCAATGAAGGAAAAAATAGAGCACATTTAACTATCTAAGTCTAACTGAATGAAAATTACTAACTAGACAACAAGAGGCAAGAGCCATAAGTGACCACCTGCGGCTGCGATACTGATTCTGCTACTGTGAAGAAGAAACGATGACGGGAGGTGACCACCTGTGGCTGCAACGTTCAGATATGCTTGAACCACGACAACCTGCTGCTTCGACGTTTGACCTGGACAACCTGACGCGAAGATCTGGGACCTTTGACGGCGAACAAAACTCCGGCACAATGAGGGCAGATTCAGCTAGGGATTTTTGATTTGGGGGAGGGAAGAAAAATAGCAAAAAGCGGAAGACAAAAACTCAACTAAAGCTGGCCTTTGATTTCGACCTACTTGCTTTTTTTTTTAAATTTTCCAATGTTAAACGACGTCATTTCCTGGGATTCAACGTCGAAAAAAAAAAATATTTCAAATCAGGCAACCCATCAAACCGCCAGTTTGCCCAGTTTTTGACTGATTTAAGAACAGTTCACTGCAACAGAAGTTTTTTTAGCAACCCAAACCAGACCAGCCAACAGTTCACTAGTTTTCCAATTGAACCGTCTGGTCCGGTCTAGTTTGGTTCTTTTTCCTTGGTTATATCTTTGTATAAATTAATAAATTTATTTGAAGGGCTGTGTTATCATGTAAATTAATATATTTATATGAGGGGTTGTGTTTTCATATAAATTAAAATATTCATATGAAAGGTTATGTAAGAAGTTACAATACTAAAAAACCTTATATATTAAATATCTTTTATTTATTTAAAATATATTAATTCATGAACTAACATATAGTTATGACTTTTTATTTAATGAGGTATTACTCCAAAAACATTTCTTCAAGGCATCATTCTATGATCTATATAAACCCTTCACCATCACTTCATTTGCATACAACACAACATAAACACAAAAATATACTAAGATCAAACTCGTTGTCATTGTCTTTGAATGCATGTAGAAATAGAGTCAAATTATCACTTTGTAAAGATCAGTGTTGTCTTCACTTAAATCTTGAAAGTGCAATCCATATTCAAGGGTTTTCATTGCATCTTGAAGAAAATTTATTGGTTAACCCAACTTGCCCCCTATAAGATAAGAATAAGTGGGGCCAAATTAAGCCTAAAGGAAAGTGCTGCCCATACCGTAAAGACATCTTGCACAACTTTCTTCTTCATCTCTTTTTATTATACTCTTCAGAAAACCATTCCCATCAACAAGCATCACTTTCAACTCAACCCCCAACGAGGTAGCCCCAGAGTTACAATATAAACCAAGAGCTGTGTTATCTATTTCACGTTGGGAAGCTTTACGAGTTTATAAGTTTAAAGGGTATTCTTTCTAATAAACTAGCTTTTTAAGATTGAACTCTTTCTTTAAGGTATACTCATCACAAGATGCCCATGTTGAATTACCTCTAATAAGAAACAAATTAAAGGACCATGACATGTTAAACACTAGTTGTATGCTCATCTTTATTAAATTTCTCATGAGTCTCAAATAATTTTTTCTGGCAAATTGTAATAAATTTTTAAATAAAAAATAATTTTGGAGCACCATAATTTTGTTCTTTCACTTTTTGCTGGACAAAATGAAAATGCCCCGCAAGTGCCAAAAGATGACTCGACTTCTTTTTAAAAAGCAAAGCGAGGAAAAATTGAAAAAAAGAAAAAGGAGAAAAAAAAAGAAAGAAAGAGGAGCAAGCATTACATGACTTTTCCGGCAAATTATTAGAAATAAAACCAGAAGGATTCCAAAGCTACTAAAGTGACCAGGTCTGAGTCAAAGTTGCAACTTTCTGTGGCCTCTAATAGTTGGATCCTGTCACAAAGCCCAAAGGTTAAGGACACCCTGAGAATCGAAGGACTTCCATGGTCCCCCCACTCCTGCATTCAGTTCCAAGTTTCCTTGAACTAACAAAACCTTCGTTCTAAAATTCAACGAGAACGACAAGTAAAAGAGGACAGCTTCTTTATTATTCGCAACCCGAGGTTAGATGGGTTCCATTCAATTAATTTCGTAGGTCATCCTATTTAACGGCCACGATGGGTATTAAAACATCGCACGCAAGCCCATATGATGCGTGAACCTGTACGGTAGCCTCTCCTTGGCGATTGCGACCATGTCACGCACGCACCTTCAGATTTTGGTAGGTTTCATTAAGTACCTCAAGCCAATTGGCGCTGCGCACTATCCTCGTCTTTTCTTATGATCCACAATCTTTATCTACTTTCGCCAATGGGACAGGCGTCTTCCATCGCCGGTGCTTCGTCGGAGCTGAATCCTTACGAAATTTCTGATGGCGATCGATTTAACTTTCGTTCTTGGCTCGCCGACGTGGGGGAGGACTCAGATACAAATGCTGAATTTGTCGAGAACTCAACGGGAGGCCGCGACTACACTGCCGGTCTCCCCGACGATTGCTTGGCTGGTATCTTCCATTTTCTTGGCTCCGGTGATCGCAAAAGATGCTCCCTTGTGTGCCGACGCTGGCTGCGCGTCGATGGCCAAAGCCGTCATCGACTGTCCCTCAATGCTCAAGAAGGATTGCAGGATTTTGTTCCTTCCCTGTTTGATCGATTCAATCTTGTCACGAAACTTGCCCTGCGATGCGACCGCAGGTCCGCCAGCATAAGCGATGACGTTTTGATGCTGATCTCGCTTCGATGCAAGAACCTCACCCGTCTCAAGCTCCGCGGATGCCGGGAGATCTCCGAAATTGGAATGGCCGGCCTCGCTAAGAACTGCAAGGCCTTGAGGAAGCTCTCTTGTGGGTCTTGTATGTTTGGTACGAAGGGCATGAACGCCGTTATCGATCATTGCGCGGCTCTTGAGGAGCTCTCCGTCAAGCGGCTTCGTGGGGTCCACGATAGCGCGGCGGTTATCGGCCCGGTGCCGCAGCCTCCTCGTTGAAATCTATATGCTTGAAGGAGCTTGTTAATGGCCAAAGCTTCGCACCCCTAATAGTGGGTTCGAAAAAGCTTCGGAGTTTGAAGCTGATTGGGTGTTTGGGCGATTGGGATAGTACTCTGGAAACGGTAGGAAACTCAAACAGTGATTTAATTGAGGTTCATCTCGAGAAGATTCAGGTTAGCGATGTCGGTCTTTCAGGGATATCCAATTGTTTGAACTTGGAGACGCTACACATTGTGAAAACTCCCGAGTGTTCCAATCTGGGGCTCTCCTGTGTTGCTGAGCGATGCAGGTTATTGAGAAAGCTTCACATTGATGGATGGAGGACTAATAACATCGGAGATGATGGTTTGATATCTATAGCTAAACACTGCCCTAACCTGCAAGAACTTGTGTTGATTTGCATTTATCCCGCGTCTTTGAGCTTAACGGCAATAGCTTCCAACTGCAAAAATTTGGAAAGGCTGGCTCTCTGTGGAATTGGCAGCATTGGTGATGCGGAGATTGAAAGCATAGCTACCAAGTGCGTTGCTCTTAAGAAACTATGCATTAAAGGATGTCCGATTACTAATGCAGGGATCGAAGCTCTTGCATTGGGTTGTCCAAATTTGGTTAAAATTAAGGTTAAAAAGTGCAAAAAGGTCACCGGTGGGATTGCAAAGTGGCTGCGGGAACGGAGGGGTTCCTTGGCGTTTAGTTTTGACGAGATTGAACCTGAGATGTTGGATGGGAATGCAAGCGATGGAGGAGCTCAGGAAAATGGAATTGCGAATCCACCGATAATGAGGGAAGAAAACGTGGCTGATGAAGCATCATCAAGTGGTAATAACAACCGACTGGCAATGCTGAGAACCAAGTTTGGATTTTTGGCCGGAAGAAATATAGTGCCCTGTGCCTTAAGAAGGTGGGTAAATGGGGATAACGTCTCTGATAGCAGCTTTTCATGATCATTAGAGGAGTGCCCAAATACGATGCTGACCTGTTCACAATATGTGAGTTGAGTCTTAGGTACTGTGTTCAAAACTTAAAATTGCTTGTTCATTGCAATGTTGCTCACTGAATTTTGTTCCCCTCCTAAGTCCTAACTGCTGCCGAGAAATGGCAAAGCCAGTGTTTTCTTTCTGTCGCTTCTTTGCATCTTGTCAATTACCTTCATTGATGATCCCTTTTCAATTTGTTATTCATATTATCAACTATGAATATCAGTCTTTGTTTTACTTTCTGTGGCAGAATATTTTATTAGCAGGATCATTCCTTGGTCAACGTTTTTATGACTTTGGGCTTAAATTCCGTCATGTATACTTCTGTCGGGACAGTTCTTTGCGTTGAGGATTAGTATGAACATGGAAATCGCATACTCGACGTGATGAATGGGCTTTTATTGTAGGCTGAAACATCAGAATTGATTAAATAATTGACCTCTCGAATCTCGATGGATAGAACGGTTGAGCTGTCAAAGCTCGAGGTGGTGTTTAACGCATTCTTTACTTTGATACTTTATAAAAATGATTTGTTGGCAGGGTTTCGAGTATGATTGTCAAAGTCCTTCTCTAATGTCTTCCATTCGCGCTTTTTGCTATTAAATTGAATTTGAAGAGTAAGTCGTGAATAGTGTAGCTGTGAAAACTCAGTTGCCACATTCAAATTACGCAAAGTACCCTGACTAAAACATGTTGAAGTGTCGAGACCAACAAATCATAACATTTGTACATAATTCAAAATATTTTATCAGCAGGGACTAAAAGATTGTAATAGTGTTTTAATAAGGATTGCAATAGGTGTAGTCTCTAACAAATCGCAGAAATGACAGGTTTTGTTAAGGTTTGTTTAGAAAATCACGATATATGATTTTAAACTAAAATATTTTTAGTTTTTTTTAAAAAAGAAATTCAGAGTAGTCTCAATTTGTTAAAGAAAAAAGACAGTGCTGGATGAAAAGAAATTATTGAAAAGGATGCTTAAGATGGAAACAAAGAGGTTAACCAAACAAACAAGAAAAGCGAAAAAGGGTCTAGCGGTACTGACTCTCAGCGCAGGTTCCAAACTTGCATTTCTTGACATGGCCTGCTTTGAAACTACCTCGCCTGTGGGGCTCAATGTTTTTATTTATACAAAAAGAGTAGCGGGGAAATGACTTCCAAGTAGTAGTTACTAGTTTGTTTGTTTCTGTGCTAGCTAGGGCGCGTTCATGACAGAGTAAATTTCGCACATCTAGTAAATTTTGAATCTGGGGCTTTTTAATTAAGTGTTGACTTTTAGATTAGATGGCTGGGTCCTATGTGCTTCCCCCGCAGCAACTCGCGCTAAGGAAACCCAACGAACTGCTACAGAGGGCGTCCAACATTCCGAATACAAGGCACAACCATCTATTTTACTCAACCTCAGCTTTCAACTTTAGATGTGCTTCTTTATTGATTACTTGCTGCTTTAGCATGGATATTATGGATGTAAATATGGCAGATGGGCAAACGACATGGATATGAAATGATGCAAATAGAAAATGGAACTAGCTGGTGATTCCGCTTCAACTAACAGGAAGGAAATAACATTAAGTGACATCACCTTGAATTTGTCCCCAAGAGCCGTTTTGACAATCGGAAACCTATATACAACAATGGGGAGCCAAATAAGCTTAGCCAGATTGGTTTTTGGTAGACATGGAAAAGCAAAATAACCCAACACAGCACCAGCCACCAGGTAACTGGAACATCACTTCCTTGTAACTTCACCACTCGTTTCGATCCCCCACAACGTAATTACGGGCAAGGCGTTTCAAGATTCAAGCGCTGCTTATCTTTTCCCCAACAGTGGCATAAGTAGAAAGATGATCTGGGGACATTTTGGGATACTTAACAGGATATGAGGGCTCTATTGCGATGCCACACTTGCCAGCGTTGGTACTTCTTACATTACGCTGAATCTTGATGTAACCATCCTCACCCCAGGCGGCGCCCCACGAATTCCTCACCAACCAATAATCCACTCCATTTTCAGTACCGTATCCGACAACAACCACTCCATGATCTAGATTTGTCCCGCATTCACCAGTAAACACACCCTGGGACACAACAAAACACCACGACTTATTAGCAGAATCTCGAGAATTAATTGACCAGACAGAATTTTTTTATTTTAGCTTACAGATTGATACAGTTGGAAGGCCTGCCACCAGCTTCAACAGCCACGCTCACGGGCTGATGAGCCACAGCTTTCTTTAACGCCTTCTCACTGTAAGGGGGAACATCCTCGTACCCGTCAATCGTCACAGCCTTGGCATTCTTCTGCAGTTTGAGAAATCAAACAAGTTGAGTACCCGCCCAGATCATCAGCTTAACCAACTAATTTCGTTATGTTTTGCAGTGCTAGATGGATGCAATAACAATCAAAAGACTGGTAATACGGACCCTGGTTGGATCGCATTGACCGTCAACACCGGCGTAAGGATAATCGTCCTCTGTGTCGATGCCACCATTTCCAATGATGTAGTCGAAGGCGTAGTCCATAAGACCACCATCGCATCCGTTGTTGTATTTTCTGTCACAGTCTACCAGTTGTTGCTCCGACAACGACACCAGCTCGCCGGTGACGATCTTATTTATGGCTTCCACAGCAGCCACTGTTGAGAATGCCCAACAACTTCCTGCAAGCGAAGGCCCAACTATCGTCAACCACATGGCCCGAATAAGTTTTCCTTGCGATAATAGGCTTCTCTGTACCTGGCTCCAGCCTCAAATGCTAACTTTTGTTTTTAATATAAAAATTAGTTTAATTTTTAATTTAGTCTTAAATATAAAATTTTAATTCATTTTATCTTTCATATTTATCTATTTATTTAAAGATAGTCCTTGTAGAAGTTTTACATGTTAAATATTTTATCAAATTGTAATCTAGCTAAGGCACTTACAGAGATATTTTAGGAAATATTATATCTATTTATTATAAATAAAAAACTAAACTAATTTTATTAATCTATTTAAATTAATTAATTAACACTTATATTAAGAATCACGAGTAGTATTAGAAGATCAAACTGTCCTGGGCTGTAACATCATCGGGCTCTGCCTTCGCATTTTTTTTATTTGAGACTAAAATACTAGTAATGCGGGCCTTGAACTTTTTAGAGGATTGATACGAGTGACGTTGCGAATGATTTATAAACATGACAGTCTCTGTGAATGTTAGATTGTGTTTATAGACACAATGTGCTGTATTACAGAGGGTTAAGTCGTGACATGTATATGGTGATGAGAAAATCTCAGTGGATTCATTCATCTAAGCTAATATACTACTAGTCGATTAATTTAAATATATTAAAAAATTAGTTAATTAAGCTAATTATTTATAATAAATAGGTGTTGTTTTTTTTTTAAATATTCCTATTAATCAAGTATATTAGTTAGAACTACCATATTGTAAAGATTATCTTTAAAAAAATAGATAAACAAGTGAGACAAAATGGATTGGGGTCTTATATCTAAAATCAAAATAAAAGTCAAACAAACTCTTATATTAAAAACCTAAAGTGTAATGCCGTAAATGCCGGAAATAATATAAATACGAAGAATAAAGGAAGAAAGGGTTACCGCAAGTCCCTTGATCTCTGACGGCAGTGACGGCCCCTTTTAACCGCCAATCAACGTGATGCGGCAACAGATCATGATGGGCGTTATGAGCATAGCCATGAGAAGCTGTGTTCTTGGCTTTCATGACACTTCGCTTTGGATCAATCCTGGCCCCCAGATACATGGCACGGTATTCCTCATTCCTTAAATCGGCAAACCTATTCAGCCCAAGTCTGTACGTTGTGTTCTCCGCAGCATTATGCTCTTGTATGAATCTCCAGTTATCCTTAAATGCCTCGAACCTCCTGTCCTTCTCTCCTAACACATTGTACACTTTTTGGTTCTTCACCAGCCACTCCTCGTACATCGCCTTCACTCCCTCCTCATGCCCGACAATAGCCCCGTCACCCGGAGCCAGTGTGAAAGTGAGGCAAAGGAAGAGGAAGGAGAGAGCAGGCGGGGCGGCCATTGTTGAGGTGTTGGGTGAGGAAAAGCGGTGAAGATGGTGGGTGTTATATAGAAGGGAGTGCTGTGTTCAATTATTGAAGAGCGGATCAATGGAAGGAGAGGAAAAGGAATAAAAAGAACAAGTGGCGAACAATAATAAGGAGAGAAGAGAGAGCAGAAGCAGAACAGAACTGGCGCGCCATGTGGGAGGGTATGGGCCGATGTTGGATGTAGCAGAAATCTAGATTTATAGGGATGAACCTTTCATGTTATCTTTTCCAAGGAGTTAGGCAGCGTTGTGATCGGATATGGGAGTGAGAAGCAATTGGGCGTGGTTTTCTGCGAAAGGAATCAGATATTGCCATATTGTCTCCCTTACATTTATTGGAATTAATAAGTAATGCTATGTGATAATATAAAACATAAAATTTAAATCTTGAAATTTTGAGTTAAAGAGAAGTGAATGCCCATTTTTCACTTAAAAGGGCAAAAAAGGCTTCTGCTACTCTTTATCAAGAGATCACATGATGAATGGTGCCTGTGACAGAGACAGTTCAGTAAGGATGAGCCCCGGGGGCGGGAGCAATGGGCTTTGATCTTTTCATATCAGCAGTGAGAGGAGGTCGGTGGATTCCGATTGCTTCTGACATCCGCAACTCTCAACTGTGTGTATGTATGGTACTTCTGCAAATATCTTTCCCTCGCCACAAAGATTTATCGGTGATTTCGAACATGGTTTGTTTTATTTGATACTTTCTCTTACCATATGTTTAAAAATAATATTTTGGACAACTTCGTTAGAGCTTCTTCACAAGTGGACGTAGCTCTGGCATTTGTAGGCTACTTCGCTTTTGTCCAGAAATGGAGCTATGGGGTCACTTCCATGGGGTGATCATGCACATTTTACGCGCCAAATTCAACAACTGAGCAAAATTCAACTTCAAAATTTGAAATATCTTGCATGAAATTAATTTGACGGAATCAATTATTTACGTGTAATAAATGATTACAAAATGAATATCTTATTTTAATTAATGTTTGATGCTTCGCCGGATGAAAATAATAGCTAAAAAGCTCTTCGCACGAAATTTCCAAAAAATATATATCATCATGCTTTTTTAAAGACATGAAAACTGGGATCAATGGATCACTGCAAAATGATATAATAAAAATAATGGAATACAGTTAAACTTACATCCCGTTTCCAAGATCAGCAGGCATTTCCATTGAAAATTTGATGGAATCCAAATTCCTCAATTGGGAAAAATGAATCACAATGCAAGATGGAACCAAAATTGAATTGCTGCTAATCATACACGATAACTGAAATAAGCTCTCACATTCCCATGCTATATACTCCAATGCCTCGATCCAAACAGGCATGTAGTTTATCAATTTCCTTGACAAGTATATATCTGTTTAACACCCCAGCTTGAGGTCGTACACCAATTTGGCACTCCGTTCGCTTGGGTTTGCTTCTAAAAAGTGTGACTGGTTATATCTACCAACTTAAAGAACTTCAAATGGATATTTCTTTTTCAAAGGGAATAGAAAGAAATGCAAACAACAGAAATGTCGCCAGCTTCTCCATTTGGTCAAATCCATGCAATAGTCACCCAAGGCGAGCAGACAGCAGTCTTGTATCCACAAGGCAGTGAACTTTGCCAGATGCTCTTATTACCATCTTAGTTCTGTTCCAAATGTGTAGCGACTTGAGAACCTATCACTTTGATTTCACTCTTCCTCTTTCGGCTGCGCCTGGATCTGGACGATCGAGATTTTGTAGTGTGTTTGGTTGGCAGCTCTTGAGTGCTAATTGACAACTTTTCATTTGATGGGAGCTCAGGAGGAGCATCTGGCCAAGGAGTCCTTTTCGATGGAACAGTGATGTCTAGAGGAGGGTCAATTATCCATCTGCATTAATTTGTGTCAAATATTCAGATGTATGCACAGAATCATGCTAAAGACTATCTACTATCACGTCTAAAATTTTGAGAAGACATAAATCCACGTAGTATCTGTTTTGACAACAGGTTCTCAATACACGATGCTTTGAGGACTGATGAAATCCAGAATTTTCAATGTAATAATCATTAAGTTCAATGGAATCCTAGAAATAAAAATCTCTTCACCAACAAGTATTAAAACGGTGACTCCCATTTTCAAGGGAAACAGCATGTAGAAACAAATTTCAGAAGCAGAACTTCGCGAACAGCAAAAGTAGACCAAGCAGATGAGAGTGCTAAGAAAGAGTAGCTGTAGGACATGCACTTAAGACGGGCTATATACATTTCTCAGTTGAAGAACCGTTGCGTTAGAATTCAGACTCCTAATTAATAAGTTCCTCTAGGCTTCAAGTGGCAATAATGGAAACCATTGTTCTTGTTTCATGATGTCATGTAGCTTCAACAAATCTTTTCTCTGGCCAAACCTCTTTTTTTCGAAAAATGAAAATGAAAAAACTTATTGTTTCATTATGCCGTTTTACTTTTTTATATACACAGCAGGATAATGCAACATTGCAACAAAATATAGTCTTTGGGTGCTCGAGAAAGCAACTGTAAGATCAATCAGTTTAAAACAGTTTTGGATTTCAAACACCCACCGGGGGCGAATAGAAGTCCATGAGCGATATAGACATTTTAAACTGATGTGTGCTATGAAACGAGCATATTACAACATCAGCGCTCAGAAGTTCTAGTGTACCACCAAAAAGGATTTTTCAAATCTACGAGACATGTTTTAAGATAAGCATTTGCATAGTCGTATGGAGAAATAAGCTTCAGGGATAAGTTTATTGCATAGATGAACTTAGTGGGAACTCTACCGAAAATCATGAGGAAACGGCTCACCTGGGAGGGAATTTGCTGTCTGTCCGCGCTTCAACACGCAGCCACCAAAGCAAAACTTGGCGTCCACAGCTCCCAAGGGGTTCCACCACAGAGGTGTCCTTGATCAAAGACAGCGGACTCTCTATGTCCTCATCAACTCCACCTAATCCATCAAGATCCCTAATCCACTCCGGTTTATCATCAAAATCCTTCCAGAGCAACCTGGAATTCAACACAAACCCAGACCATTCAAGTTTTCGGGGCAGCACAGGTGCTCGGTCATCAATGTAAACAGCACTTTTCCCAGCATATGGTAGTGAATTGAAGGTGTGCCACCCAACCAATTTATTGCTAGAATTACAAGCAGGGCCTTGCACGGGTATTGGGGGGGTTTCCTCCCCATCCTTTCTCTGAGGCAGGGATGTAGATTCATCTGTATTGAGAGAATGAACAAGTATTCCAACTGAAACAGCACCTATCCATTTCACACTTTGGATTTCATCAAATAGCTCCATACTATGCATATTACTGTCATCCGCAAACATCACAACTCCATCCAGCTTCTCTTTCCTCACAATTCTGTTGCACATATAGGAAGATGAGCAAACCACAAAATTGTAAACAAGCTATTCCTTACAGATCGCACAATGGGCTGACCAAAAAAATGAAGAGGGAAAAAAGATTAACCATGTATTTCTATTATTTTCAGCACAAAAGAACATTTCAGTCTCTAATTGTCAGTAAATACGTTTTCCCCAGTAACGAAAGAAGTTAATTGGTGGCGCGAAGAACAAGTGATTTACCTCAAAGCGTGAAGCCGCATCCGGGCTTCCAATTTATGCCTTGCATCCCATGAATTCGGCATCCGCTGATTGAACCCCACGTGGATGGTTCTAAGCTTGGACTTGGCAATAATTGAAGAGGTCTCGTTGGTGACTCCTCCGGCCTCCACCACAATCCACACTAAGTCGTATGGCACCAGCATTAGCGAGTGCATCACCCCAGTCAAATGAAGTGCCTGAAACGTCCGTGCATAAGTTGGGGTGACCGCAATCACCTTCTTAGGGTTCTTCACTCCAAACTGGAGCCTCTGCTCCCTCTGAACTCTGTTAATTATCTGGTGAGCCTTCATCACCTCCACAGGATCTGGATGTGGCCAGGGTCGGATTCGGATTCCATGCCGCCCAACGATGACCCTGCTGGTGGAGCTAGCAATGGTGGTTCTATTAGCAGGATTTTCAATGTTGGTGAAAGGATTGGAAGTTAAAGCGGATTGAAGATCGAGGGATCCAGTGAACTGAGTAGCAGTGCGGAATGGAACCATCTGGAGGTTGTTAGATGAAGTGGAGACAAGAAAGAAGAAGACGAGGCGAGAGAAACGGAAACCAAGGACCAGACTAATGAGACAGCAGATGCCATGAAGGACGAGCCAGAAAACGGCAGCAGGAGACTTAATGGGGCCGTCGCCGGAGGAATCCAACTGGGGCGATCCACGGAAGCTGTTGGTTCGGCGGTTGAGGTAGCTCTGCTGCAACGCCGAGAGCTTCATAATGAGGAAGTACCCAAGAGCCCACCAAGTCGGAAAGAGTCAATTGACGACAACGGCGGAGGGCGATGGAGAGGGCGAGTTGGCTTTGAAATTGGGATTTGATTTGCAAAGATGATCGCGAGAGAGAAAGAAGGTTACAAGACAACAAAGGAAGCCGAAGAGAATGGAGATGGTGGGAGAGTCTAATCATGACATTTCTTTTTGGTTTACGCGTTACTCGGTGTCCGCCTCATTTTTATAATATCTAAATTATCCACATTATCTGTATTAAATTGAAATTAGATTTTTAGCTTGTAATTTTTAAATAACGTATTTATTTTTTTAATAAAATATTCAAAAAATAATTTTTATTTTATATTATATATCAATTAAATAAAAAAAGAATAAAACAATATGGATAATCCAAATTCATGTAAATCCCCGATGGGTATGAATTATGAAATCCTTCCGACAACTTCCGTTACACAAAAAGGCAGGGAGGGCTCAGTCTTGAGGGAAAAAGTCAAGGGCTCAGGGTAAGGTGATATATAAGCTATAACATTATTAGAAAATTGACAAGAACAAAAGTGTGTAAAGAGCCGTGAAATTAGGAAAGAAATTAGAGACAGTATTATAAATGAGGATTTATAATTAATATTTGTC